GAGATGGGCCCTTTAAAGAAAAGACAATTTTGCAGAATAGGTCTGGTTTAAGGATTTAACTAATATTTGTAAATTTATATGGAGGAGTACTAGTGTTACGATGTTCCTGAATAATAAAATATTGCTAAATGTTTTCCATCTAGAAACGAGGGACAATTTCCACAAGACAAGACGACACACAAGATTGGGTCCACAAGAATGAGATTTTGACATAATTTCTAAGATGTAAATAGTTCGATTTAGTTCCCGAAGTCGGCTTCAGAATTTGTGCTTACTTCATTTAATATTTATATATATTTTGTTATCATTCTAACAATACTTTTTTGGAAATACAGCTTCTCAAAAGACGCAACCCACCAGCACTTACAGTTTTTTTGTCCAATCTAAATGGGGAAAAAAATCTCACGCTGTAATTTTTCTCACGTGCATACAGCCTTGAGGCATTTTTGTGTAGCGAGATCTTGTCCCATCCCAAGTTGTTTGACTAGTGGACTACTAAAATAATCACGAGTTCGTCATATCATGCATAAAGATGGTCTTTACTGTGTTGTCTTATACTAGTTCTGATACGGATCACGACAACCGTCCAACTTTGTCCTATTTATTATGTCATTGTTTCTTCTGTATTGATACTTGTCTGAGTTTCAGTATTGATTATTAACTGGTCGTTGATTTGTTTGAGTGCCCAGTGGACAGCAGGTGTAAAGATCGACACCGTGTGAAAAACAAGAATGCACAGACTTTGTACACGGGTGCTTTAACAAAAGGTTTAAGGTTTTTACGGCGCTGTCTTTCTCTTTAGAATCCATTCAAAAGAATTAACGACTTTAGCGTCACTAAACAGAAACTGCACCAAGCTGGGTTTGTATAGGACCATTTAAAAAGTACAGAACCAGGACTTAAACAGGGCTGAACCAGGACTGAACCAGGACTGGAGCAGGACTGGAGCAGGACTGAGCAAGGACTAAACCCAGGACTGAACCAGGACTGAACCAGGACTCAACCAGGATTAGAGCAGGACTGAACCAAGACTGAACCAAGACTAGACCAGGACTGAACCAGGACTGAACCAAGATTGAAGCATCACAGAACCAGACTGAAAAAGGACAAAACCAGGAAAAACCCAGGACAAAACCTGGACAAAACTACATGTGTTTTACTGAGGGAGGAGTTGGGTTCTGGTCTGAACTGAAAGAGAAAAACATCTGGAGGTGTTTAACCTGTCACTGTTCAGAACCTCCTTAGTCCAAAACCAAGTCAAGGTCCGGAACTAAACCAGGACTAAACCAGGTCCGTGTTCAGATCTAAACCAGAGCTAAACCAGGTCTATATCCAGGTCTAAACCAGAATTAAGCCAGAACTAAACCAGGGCTAAAATAGGACTAAACCAGGGCTAAACCAGGACTAAACCAGGACTGAACCAGGACTAAACCAGGGCTGAACCAGGACTAAACCAGGTCTAAACCAGGACTAAACCAGGACTAAACCAGGGCTAAACCAATAAACCAGGTCTAAACCAGGACTAAAGGGACTAAACCAGGGCTAAACCAGGACTAAACCAGGTCTACTAAACTAAACTAAACCAGGACCAGGGACTAAACCAGGTAAACCAGGACTAAACCAGGTCTGACCAACAGAGGGAACAAAATCAGACTAAACCAGAACTAACCAGCCTGGAGATCAAAAACTGACAGGGACTTAACCAGGACTAACCAGGGACTAAAATAGGAATAATCCAGGACTAACCCAGGTCTGACCAACCCAGGGCCAAAAAAGGACTTAACCAGGTCTGACCAGCAGAGGGAGCAAAACCAGACTAAACCAGACCTAACCAGCCCGGGGACCAAAAACTGACTAAACTAGAACTTACCAAAGTCCAAAACAGAACTAAACCAGGTCTAGCCCAGTCCTGTCACAATTAACAACTTTATACAGCAATAAAAGATACAAATTAAATAGCTTTATGCATCTGACAGAATAAAAATGAAGCAGGATCTTCTCAGTAAACCATTTTAAAATAGACCGTCTCATTAAAAGGCCTGAGCTGCAACAAATACATAAGATAATGTGCCAGTAATTAGCTATAAATGTCACTTTTTCTACATCTTTACAGCTCAAATCTTATCATGTTACAACTAAAATACTCCAAATCTCCACACTTTTACCAAGAAAAAGTACCGTATGATAAATATTGAACCTCAACTATGTAGTTCCAGCTTTCATATATTGAACAATAAGTTGATGTAGTAATTATCTTGACAGCTGTAAGTCTAACCAGGACTAAACCAGGACTAAACCAGGTCCAGCCAGGGACTAAAACTGAATTAAACCAGGGCTAACCAGTGTCTAAAACAAAACTAAACCAGGTCTAATCAGGGACTAAAACAGGACTAAACCAGGTCCAATCAATATCTAAATGGGGACTAAATGAGGTCTTACAAAGACAGGAATAAATGAGGTCTAAACCAGGACAAATAAGATCTAATTTAGGGTTAGAAACATGAGCAAAAACCTGTATTTTTAATTACAAAACAACATAAAAGAATGAAAAGTACTGTCCAAAAATCACTTTCTATTTGTTCTAAAGTGGAGCCCTAAACCAGGTCTAACTCAGGACTAAACCAGGTCTAACTCAGGACTAAACTAGGTCTAACTGAGGACTAAACCAGGTCTAACTCAGGACTAAACTAGGTCTAACTGAGGACTAAACCAGGTCTAACTCAGGACTAAACCAGGTCTAACTCAGGACTAAACCAGGTCTAACTGAGGACTAAACCAGGTCTAACTGAGGACTAAACCAGGTCTAACTCAGGACTAAACCAGGTCTAACTCAGGACTAAACCAGGTTTAACTTTAGGACTAAACCAGGTCTAACTCAGGACTAAACCAGGTCTAACTCAGAACTAAACCAGATCTAACTCATGACTAAACCAGGTCTAACTCAGGACTAAACCAGGTCTAACTCAGGACTAAACCAGGTCTAACTCAGGACTAAACCTGGTCTAACTCAGGACTAAACCTGGTCTAACCCAGGACTAAACCTGGTCTAACTCAGGACTAAACATGGTCTAATTCAGGACTAAACCAGGTCTAACTCAGGACTAAACCAGGTCTAACTCAGGACTAAATCAGGTCTAACTCAGGGCTAAATCAGGTCTAACTCAAGACTAAACCAGGTCTAACTCAGGACTAAATCAGGTCTAACTCAGGACTAAACCAGTTCTAACTCAGGACTAAACCAGGTCTAATTCAGAACTAACCCTGGTCCAACCCACTACTTTAAAACACGTTAGATTGATGCTGATCATTCAAGGATTACAGAGCTGATTACAGAGCTCTATTTGTTCTAAAGTGGAGCCCTAAACCAGGTCTAACTCAGGACTAAACCAGGTCTAACTCAGGACTAAACTAGGTCTAACTGAGGACTAAACCAGGTCTAACTCAGGACTAAACCAGGTCTAACTCAGGACTAAACCAGGTCTAACTCAGGACTAAAACTAGGTCTAACTCAGGACTCAGGACTAAACCAGGTCTAACTCAGGACTAAACCAGGTTTAACTTAGGACTAAACCAGGTCTAACTCAGGACTAAACCAGGTCTAACTCAGGACTAAACCAGATCTAACTCATGACTAAACCAGGTCTAACTCAGGACTAAACCAGGTCTAACTCAGGACTAAACCAGGTCTAACTCAGGGCTAAATCAGGTCTAACTCAGGACTAAACCAGGTCTAACTCAAGACTAAACCAGGTCTAACTCAGGACTAAATCAGGTCTAACTCAGGACTAAACCAGGACTAAACCAGTCTAATTCAGAACTAACCCTGGTCCAACCCACTACTTTAAAACACGTTAGATTGATGCTGATCATTCAAGGATTACAGAGCTGTGCTGAACCAGGACTAAACAACTAAGATAGGACTAAACCAGGTCTAAACCAGGACTAAACCAGGACCAAATCAAACCCAAGACTAATCTAGGTCTAACCCAGAACTAAACCGACTGACCACTGCAGGTAGAACACATAGTTGTAGTACTAAACCTAGACTAAACCAGGTCTAACACACACTGTAGGAAACTATTAAGAACCTCCAATGCAATTTCAGGACAAAATGTTCAAACTACACAAGAAACTACATTTTAACATAAAAATTGAGAAAATATCGCCATAGTAAAATTACTGGCATCCACAAAATTAATTTATATATGTAACTTGAATAGTCTAAACACATCTGTATGACTTCATTACAATGTTCATATTTCAAGGCAAATTATAAGAAAAAGAAAACACGACACATCTAAAATAACGAATTTAGAACTAATAAAAAAAGCTTAAATAAATATATAAAAAATTAAGACTTGGTGCTCCAGTTCGCAGACGGGAGACATTACGGGAGCGCACCGTGAATCTAAATGAGCTTTAGAAGAAAATTAAACTAACATGCTGCACAAAAACTCTGTCTGATAGCGTCTCTGGTATAAAAAAAAGTGCATTATTTTAGATTGAATTAGTAAAAAAATTTACAAGACCGACATGAAATAACAGTATGTCAAAATGAACAAAGTCTTTAAGAAGATTTAACGCGGGAATGACCGAAGTTTGAGTCGTTTTTTTAACAATTTGAAATTTGGAAGCGCTAGGATACTTGGTTGAAATATTTTGAGTAAAGATACAGCAAACTATTAAAAAATAACGTGTTTTGGTAATAAAAAAAGGCATATTTGATTAAAATACTTTGACAAAATCTCGGAAAAAAATATATAATGTAAATAAATTAAAATAAAATAAAAAAATAAATAAATAAATTTAATCGTAGATAATAATTTGGTCATTCTGAATTCAACTCAATTTATTTTATTTTATTATTTTTTTTATTTTTAGCCCAAGTATGTCGTGAAAACTAGCCCCACTTGCCCCACTCTTGGAGCGGTCACCGGAGCCTAAACGCGGTATTCCGGCGTAACAAATAGTTCGGTTCGCGGGGAATGGCGGAGTCTTACCTCGCTGAAGGTGTGCTGGGCTCGCGCGCCGGACATGAGCTGCTGCAGCGCGAGACCCTCCTCTGAGCGCGCCTCGTGAGCCGCTCCGGAGAGGCTCGAGGACACACGCACGACACGCCCCCACCGGCTGACGTCACAGCGAGAGAGACAAACGGAGCAGAGGAGAGCAGGGGGGAGAGAGAGAGGAGAGGGGGACAGAGAACGAGGGATAGTTTTGTGCTCTTCGAGATGTATTCCACGGCCAGTGTTGGGGAGTAACAGATTACATGTACGTAATCAGAGTACAAATTATGAGTAACTGTATTCAGTTACAGTTACTGTTTCAGTGAGTGGTAATTGGATTACAGTTGAAATTTGTTTTGTTTGTTTGTTGAAATAAATGGATTACATGGTGGTATTTTCATGTTTTCACATTTTGGGCTAAACCAGGACTAAACCTGGACTAAACAAGAACTAAACCAGGACTAAAACCAGGACTAAATCCAGGACTAAAACCAGGACTAAACCAGGACTAAACCAGGACTCAACCAGAACTCAACCAGGACTAAACCAGGACTAAACCAGAACTAAACCAGGACTAAACCAGGACTAAAACCAGGACTAAAACCAGGACTAAACCAGAACTAAACCAGGACTAAACCAGAACTAAACCAGAACTAAAACCAGGACTAAAACCAGGACTAAACCAGGACTCAACCAGGACTAAACCAGAACTAAACCAGGACTAAACCAGAACTAAACCAGAACTAAAACCAGGACTAAACCAGAACTAAACCAGGACTAAACCAGGTCTAAACCAGGTCTAAACCAGGGCCAATTTGAAGAGAACAAACATGAATTTTCAGGATGTGGTTTTAAAAAACACGACAATATCAAGTAATCCAAAGTATTCAGATTACGTTACTGACCTGAAGTAACTTAATAGATTCCATTACAAACTACATTTTGGGGTATGTAATCTGTAGGGGAATACATTTGTCCATGGCTGCTCTTCTTGAATTAAACCGTTAAAATCGTAAAGGTGCACTAAGGAACTTTTCTGGCGGTGTTGGGCACAGGGGGCAGGGGCGACGCCAGGGGGGGCTTGAAGGGGCACTGGCCTCCCCTAGAATGACCAGTGCCCCCCACCATCTGGTTTAAGGATTTAACTAATATTTGTAAATTTATATGGAGAAATACTAGTGTTATGATTTTCCTGAATAATAAAATATCGGTAAATATTTTCCATCTGGAAATGAGAGAAACAATTTCCACAGGACGAGACACAAGATTGGGTCCACGAGAACGAGACAAGATGAGATTTTGACATCATTTCTAAGGTGTAAATAGTCCGATTTAGTTCCCAATGTCGGCTTCAGAATTCATGTTTACTTCATTTAATATTTTTGTGATTATTCTAGCAATGATTTTTGGAATTACAGCTTCTCAAAAGACGCAACCCACCAGCACTTACAATTTTTTTTGTCCAATCTAAATGGAGATTGGACAAAAATCTCCCCACTTTTTTTTTTTTTTAACCCCACTTTCATTAGCAAATCCAATCTCGGCCAAAAATGTTCAAGTACCAACCACAAAATGAGACAAATTAGGGACAGTCACAAAATTTAAAGCTGTTGTCCCAATCCCAAATCTGTCTTTAAATTACCCAAAAATGACCGAATACTGAGCAGTTATTTTCAGATAAACATTAAAAACTGATAGGCTGGTAGGCTAAAAAAGCTGATAGGCTAAAATAGGCTGCACGAAGAGAACGCAAATTGCAGCAGCAACGAGGCCCCCCCCACTACCAACTACCAATAAAATAATAAATTTGTCCAAGATTAAATGTAACAACAGCATGATGTAATAATGGGCCAATAATGCAATAACAAGTGTGAGCCAATAACGTGATCACATTTTGACAAGAATGACTACTTTACTGGCTGCAGTTATTACATTATCAGAGAAAAGAGAACCAGTTAAAAATAGAATCACTTATTACAGCTTTGGGGGTTTTCTCACTGTGGGACATGTACACTGGTGACACGCAAGTTTGGATCTATAACCATTTTATTATAGTTCTACGCATGCAAGCTCCTTCAGGTTTCAGTTTGTTAGTTTGCTAATTTAGACTTGTTTTTATTCACATATTTATCCTCCTTTTGATAATTTCTTATTTAGATGTAGATTAATGATGGAGTCCACTTATAGACTTGGTTCAGTCCTAGATTAGACCTGGAATAGTCCTGTTATAGACCTGGTTTAGATCTGGTGGTACTATCTTTTCTTTGGTGATACTTGGTGAGAAATGTTTGAACCACTGGTGTATTACATTACTGGTTTATTACATTTAAAATGATTATGATATTGACCGTTATTACATTACTGGCTCTAATTATATTACATTTAAACAGTTTTAAAGGGATAGTTTTTTGTTTTTTTTACATGAATCTGTATGGCATCCCCATCAACAGTGTCGTGCATCCACACTGACTTACCCCCGACAGTGTCCGGTGAGGCGAGGTACTGGCCGGTTTTGGTGCTGACAAAAGTATTCCGGCAAGTTGGCTGGGGACATTAAAATAAAGCGTTTTTCTTCTCAAAACAATATGTGTTCAAAAGAGTGTTACATCTGCATCACAAAACCTTCGTCCTCAAAAAAGTCAGACCTCATAATCACTTGGCACTATTTTCTCTCCGTTCGTATCACTCACGTATCATAGTGACTCAAACATGGTAGGTGGTGGGGGTGCACTCCATTGTTAAAAGGCTCTACATTAACATGGTACATGAGCACGCACACTGAAAACCTCAGCACCCCCACAGCTCCTCCAACCAAAACTGGCACCGCCCCTGACATGTGGAATATTCCACATCACACTATGACAAGCATGCTAATGCTAAATGGTCATATTTGTATACTGCACATTTCCACCTTCAAGTCACTCAAAGCTCTTTATAACAAGGAACCACTCCCCCATTCTCACCCATTCATACAACAGTGGCCAAGGACACTGGGGGCAAGGTGAGTTAAGTGCTTGCCCAAGGACACAACAGCAGTATGCATATGTGGGAGCTAGAATTGCACCGCCAACCAGTGATGAGCACATCTGAGCACTCAAGCTATATTTAGAAAATTTATTTTGTCATCTTATCATACAGAAACTTTGTATTTTCTGCTTATTAGAAGAAAACACAACGTTTTCACTCAAACTGTTTAGGTTGGGAGCAGGATTCAAACCTCCAACCTTCAGATCAGAGGACAAACACTCAACCAACTGAGCTACTGTTTCCAGATCAGATCTGCTGACACATCCATAATCACAGTAAGAATGTTTCAAAAGTATATTGTAACATTCAAAAACTAGGAGCTCAATATACTGAATATGGTATTGTTGAGGAAAACAGGGTGAGGAGGGATGTTTTCTGGCTAACAAGTCTTGACATCAACCCTATCAGTAGTTCTTGTCCTTTTTAGTTTGCTTCTAGATAGATTGGAATATTCCGCTTTTGTCTTGACATATACTGTATATCTATGAATGTCACAGCTGTGATCAGAGCCTTTATCTTCAAATGACCTCGGTACAATAATGAACTACAGAAGTGATTATACAAAATAGATAAGCCTAGTTTTTTTTTTTTACCCTAACATTCTGCAGCATCAATACGTTTAAGACCATACTGTGGAACAGGCAACGCAAAGATATAACATGTCAGTGACCATGACAACGAGTGTTCTTCCTTGAGATGAACTCAGTGATAGTAAAGCGTGAATACACGATACAGAGGAAGGAACATGCAGATAAACGCCTTTTAATCATTTTAACAAAACAGCTTTTGAGTCAAATGCATTTATTTATCATTTTACAACATTTCATTTCAAACTCCAGTTCCAGTTTTACCAATCCAGATTAAGAAGATGACAATAATAAGATCATTATTTCTACATTTTCTTTCAAATTAGCATCCCATAATAAAACACAACCAATAAGAGGTGGATTTTTAGTGTGAGGAGATTCAGCAGCAAAGATGGATAAGTTAAAGCCCTACTGTGGAACATTGCAGGCAAAGCGATCACATTTCCATGGACACGAGCAAGTAGTGCCCATTCCATCACATTGCCAAGTAAGGTCTGTGGATAGGTGAGTCCGCTTACATTAAAGATGCAGGTTTGTCAATAATATATTATATTTCATTAAAAACACCAGTAATTAAAGACATGCATTTACTTTAGTTTACAGGAACAGTTCGGAATTTTGGACATAGGGCCTCATTTCGTAGTGAGCTACAGTGCTGTAGATGTGTGGAGACACTTTTGGAAATAATCCATCCAGTCCTTGTATTTGTAGAGGTTGTTGGTGCTAGGCTAGCACAAGTTAATGGCCTTAATTAGCTTGCCACTAAAAACAGTCTTACCCACTCCACAGTGTAACCAAGGCAAATCTATTATTACACCAGACTGTCCATGTGAATGTCTGTGTCAATAGAATAATGTTAGAAATAAAACTAACCTTGTATCTGACGAATCGTCGCATGTTGAGGGACTATTTTCTCATATATCAGTCCGCTGCTGCCAAGCTTTCTATCAGGAAGTACAACTCACTGCTGCTACTCAGACATAAATCCTTCAAATGCAAGGTTGGTTTTACTTCTAAAATGATTCTATTGACACGGACATTTACATGGACAGTCTGGTGTAATAATAGATTTGTTTCGGGTGTTTTGTGGAGAGTTTTAGTGGCAGGCTAACAGTAGCCATTGACTTGCACTAGTCTAGCACCAGTGACCTCTGCAAATACAAGGACTGAATGGAATATTTAAAAAAAGTGTCTCCACACGTCTCCAACACTCTGGCTCACTAGGAAATGAGGTCCTATGTCCAAAATTCCGAACTGTCTCTTTAATGTTTATGTATTGGCTGAAATGTTATGCAGTGGAGCTTTAATGTTGCTATTTGAAATTATATGAACATCAGTACCAAAATATTCAGAGACTAAACATTTAAAGGTCCTATATTACACAAAATTTACTTTATATCTATGTTTATATCTATGTTATAATGTTGTTTCTTTATAAAAAAACAAACCTGGAGCTGTGCTTTGTTTCATTCACACATCTGAGTACTTCTGTATTATTAATCTGTTTACATATCCAAAGCTCAAAATGCTCTGTTTCACCTTATGATGTCATGTATTGGTAGTTTTCAAGTGAACAGCTGCTTTCACCTTTAGTTCATAAGAGATTGGCAAGTCCTAGGCTGAAATGATCAAAATTATTACAGTAAAGATGTATGGGGAAAAAAAAAAAAAACTACTTCCAGTTTTACCACATGACATCACAAGGTGGAACAGAGTGTTTTCTGTTTGAGAAAAGAACTCTCAAAAAAATATGCAGGGTTTGGAAACATTATAACATAGATCAGAAATACAGCCCAAAATACTGAAGGCTGTTTAAGGGAAACTTGGATTCATTATTAAGAAATTTGTTCTCTGCATTTGACCCAGTCTTAAATAGCTCTGGGTTAAACTTGTCCTGAACACTGGGCATTCCCTCTTAAGATTTTGGTTTGGTTCATGGTCATTTTAAAAGTTTAAACTGACAGGCAAATACTCGTAAACCAAAGACAGCTTCTGACTGGTTGCTTCCACGTCTTCTGCGTTCTGATTGGCTGCTGTCTTCAGTTATTCGTCAGGTAAAAGTAGGCGGCAGCCAGCAGAGCTCCTCCCACTGACAACAGGACCAATGAGAGGCCTCGTCTGGCCCACAAGCCCCGCCCCTCGTCACCAGACTCCTCCCCTTTTCTCTTGCGCTTGTTTCGCCGACCCGCTCCTTTAAGACGGCGCTCGAAAGCTTCAAGCTCCTCCTACAAAATAAAGTGGATTTTAGCCAAACTCCTACAAAATAAAAGCATGCAAAACACCAAATTGTCAGTTTCGCTTACAAAATAAAGTACGCAAGAGATTTAAGCGCAACTCCTAAAATGAAAAAAAAAACAAAACACTATAAACCACTATAAAAATGTGCCAAAAAAAAAAGCCATACTGTAAATTTACAAATAAATTAAACTCATATAATTGACCTTAACTGTGTTTTAGTCTAATCTGTAATTCACTTGAAGCAAAACTCTTCAGTACAGATTTAAAAAACACTTTACAAGGAACTGGAACATTAAAAACAGGAAAAATAACATTATGCTCAGTAAACAATAAATTCCTGGATGTCTCGAAGGTAGCATCAATCAACCAAATAAAACTAAAACAATTAAGTAAATGTGAAAAGGCTGACCTGTTGTTTGCGAAGCTCCTCCTCCTGAGCCGCTTTAAGCTCCGCCTCCTTCACCTGCACAAAGGAAGTGAGCGGTGTTATTTTTTTTAATTATTTATTAGTGCTATAGTCGACTAAAGACATGTCCTCCCGATCGATAAGTCGATTAAAAAGAAAGTGTGGCAAAAAGTATCAAGTATCTCACCAGACTACACCTCCAGGGTTAGCTTATGCAAAAACTACTCTCTATGCAGAAAAGTAGTACTAGGATACATTGTATTTATATAAAGAAAAATTCAACTTCTGAATCATGAGTTTAATGTGATTTTTATATAAATACCAAAATGACCAAATCTTCAGCTCACTCACTTACAAGACTCCATTGACCGATTAACTGACTAAAGACCTATAGCCCTAATTATTTCCTCAAAATGTTATGTAAATATGTATAACTAAAATGCAGCTGGTCAGTCTATTGAAAATATTACGATCCCACTGACAAAATGGATGCTCTGTATAAAGCAAGACTGTTTATATAATGTAAATATTCATGACCCGCTGAGACCAGGTGAGTCAGTTCCAGGTCAATAACTAAACCAGATGGGTCCAGGTGAGTCCAGGTGAGTCCAGGTGAGTCTTACCTGTGTGACCTTCCTCTGTTGTTCTTTACAGGTGTCATCACACTGGAGATTGCTCTGGGCTGACAGGTGACACTGCACCTCCTGTAACAGAAACAACACTTCAGTGCTCATCAAAATGTATTCCCTGAGACTTAGAAACTACATTTTAATGATAATTCCACACACTTTTGCTCTTTCCAGGAGGGTGAAAACCTCTCAATGAATGACAACTACACTGTGTCATTATTCATTCGCGCCATTTTCTGTGATTATGAAGGTTATTTTGTGTTTTTATTACCAAAGCTTTTACGTATCATTACTCATTACATTACTACTCTTAAAACTGTTAACAATGAATCAAGCAAAAACTCCATAGGTCACAGGTGTCAAACATAAGGCCCGGGGGCTGGATCCGGCCCTCCAAGACCTTTAATCTGGCCCTCGGCTGTTTTTCTCCTAAAATATTTTAATTCTATTTTCTATTAAAATATTGGTAATTTTCTGTGCCGCTGAGCATAGCAGTGTCTCCAGTGTCTCTGTACGTGGCCCCTCCCACCAGAGCAGCACAAATGAAGACTTGCCTCTTTCCAAACACTCTTAAAGGACGATCGTTTTGAATGTTGACCGTGACACCCTCATCAACAAAATGTCAAAAATGAGAAAAGTGGATGCCGAGTGCAGGATTTTCCAAGAAAAACTGACTTATTCCTATTTGCATACAAGTTCATGTTAAAACAATGTGTTGAAATGGCATTTTTATTAAAGTTTCAAGTCCTTCTTAATATTATAATATTTTGTAAAAGAAAGAGTTCATCAATTAAAAAGACTTAGATTTACGTTTCTCTGCACAAATATTTGAACTTATTGCAATTTTTGGGGTATATATTGCGGTATATATGAGTTTTCTGATCCGGCCCCTTTGGGATCAAAGTAGGTTGGATACGGCCCCCGGACCAAAATGAGTTTGACACCCCTGCCATAGGTGGTGGCAAGCCAGACCACCATTCAGTCCTGGGGCAGACTGACGGAAGTAAGGCAGCCACTCTTGCACTGACCATCACCAATCACTCATGCACACACCACATTCAGACTACAAAGTGTTTTGCCTAAGGACACAATGACAGAATTTGGTTTAAGTTGGAATAGATCCTCCAGTTTTCAGCCAAATACAGGTTCAAATGTGGTGACTGAAGAATATTTACAGCTGAAGTGTATTATGTATAGAAATGAAAGGAGTCATTCCTCGTAATGTTGCCTTCTTTGCTCATTTTGGGCATGTTTTTGTAACCAGATAATGATTACTAGTCATGATGATTCCATTGCATTTCAGTGTTACTACATACATTAAACAGTGTGTCCTAAAGAGCTGGACAGATGAGAGTAGTACAGTATATTAGTGTTTGTTGTTGTACCTTCTTGATCCTCCTGCAGGGGCAGCGCAGTTTGACCTTGTGCACGCACTGAGCTCCACAGTCTCCAGGATGACACAGCAGTCTGCAGCGATGGCCACAGCTCAGCTACACACAGCACAGGCGTTTATTAGTTTAAGATGCATTTACGGACACTCATGATACGTACAGGACAATAAACAAACAAATAAATCATAAACAACATCAGCCCTACAACTTAAAGATAAATACATTGAAAAAATTATTACATAAAGAGGCTATGTTGAACAGGCAAGTTTGATTTTACCTTGATTTAGTCTTGGTTTAGTCTAAACTTGAACTTGTCCCTGGTCTAGTGCCTGGTCCACTCCATGGTCTACACCCTGGCCTACCACCTGATCTGATCATCGGGTTAGTAGCTTCTGGCCAAGCCTTGGTTTAGTCCTAGTTTAAGTCTAACTTTGGTCTGGTCCCTGGTCTGGTCCCTAGTCTCAGATGGTATTGGGCAGTACAACAGAAAGGGCTCAGTCTGGTCCCTGGTCTGGCTTGGCCCCTGGTCTGGCCCCTGGTCTCAGATGGTATTGGACAATACAACAGAGAGCGCTCGGTCTGTTCCCTGGTCTGGTCCGGTCTCTGGTCCGGTCCCTGGTCTCAGATGGTATTGGACAGGACAATAAAGAGGGCTCAGTCTGGTCCCTGCTCTGGTCCCTGCTCTGGTCCCTGCTCTGGTCCCTGGCTTAGCTGCTGGTCTGGTCCCTGGTCTAGTCCCTGGCTTAGCCCCTGGTCTGGTCCCTGGTCTGGTCCCTGGCTTAACCCCTGGCTTAACCCCTGGCTTAACCCCTGGCTTAACCCCTGGCTTAACCCCTGGCTTAACCCCTGGCTTAGCCCCTGGTTTAGCCCCTGGCCTAGTCCCTGGCCTAGTCCCTGATCTAGTCCCTGATCTAGTCCCTGATCTAGTCCCAGTCTAGGTCCTGCTTAGTCCTGGTTTTGTCCTGGTCTAGTCCCGGTCTAGTTTCAGACAGTATTGAACAGAGAGGGCTCAGTCTGGTGCATTCCAGTGTGTTTGTTGTTTTAGCTGCGGCTCTCAGAACTCAAAGTGCTCAAGTGCACAGCGGCCAATTCCATCTCCAGGGCCACGATTTCTTTTCCTCGTATTGATCAGACTCAATTTTTGATTTAATTTGATTTTGTCTAATTAAAAGTAATACAAATCACTTTCAATATATTTTCAATTATCTGAACAAAACCAACAGACTTTTTAATCATTACCATTTAAAGATTCTATATTACACAAAATTGATTTATGTGAGCTTTAAGCCATGTTATAATGTTGTTACCTCCTCAAAAACATACATGAAGTTGTGTCTTGTTTCATTCACACATGTTTGAGTAACTCTGCATTATTAGTCTGTCTATCTTCAAAGCTCAAAATCCTCTGTTCCACCTTGTGATGTCATGTGGCGGTAGTTTTCAAACCACTCCTTTTAACTTTTCTTCACTAGACATTGGCAATTCCAGGGCTGAAATTATCCAAATGATTCTCTTAAAGATGAATTTTTTTTAGTTTTTTTAGTATGATTAAATCTAAGCATTTATTTTATCATCATTTTATTACTGTTGTTATTACTATGTGTTTGTGTAGCACTTTGGAAATGGTTTGTTTATGAAATGTGCTATAGAAATAATATGGACTGGATAATGCTATCTAGCTTCTGACTAGAGCTGGGTATCACTAAGAAGCTGCCGATATGATACATATCTCGATACATAGGCCACGATATGATACATATCTAGATAAAGTGAGCTGTCGATTCGATACAATTCAATATGATATATTGGCTAAATGATGTCTGTGATACTAAAAGTCTTTGTTAACCATTTCTTGTGCAGAGTTACCGTATTTTCCACACTATAGGCGCTCTGGATTATAAGGTGCACTGTAACTGAATGGTCTATTTTCGAACTTTTTCACCAATAAACCGCACCGGACTTTAAACAAACCCAACACTTGGATGGGTCAGTGGTTTTGTTTGTTTGTGGCGTTCACAGTGACTCTGGGCTTTGTTCAGTTGTGGCGTGTAGGGAGGGTGCTGTCTGGGACCACTGGATTGTCGGCGTGTTTGCAGTGACTAAGATTTGAGTTGTGTCTAGAAGTGGCACATTGCACTTGCTTTTTCGGTTCGTTCCTTCATTCCATTCCTCGACCGCATGGAGGGATGAGTGTGTCTGTGGGTGTTTTTCAGTGTGTGGTTGCTGTCTGCTCCGTGTGTGTTTGCGTGCGCTGCAAGTGGTGCGGCTTTGTCGTTTACTGAAGTCGTGCTGGGACACCTGAGTGGATTCATATATAGGGCGCTATGGATTTCAGGGCGCACAGTCATTTTTTGATGGGGTTGGAGGCTTATGAGCGCGCCCTATGGTGTGGAAAATACGGTAATATGAAACACAAACATCTTAATCATCAAAACAGTGAATACGTCAAATGTGTTGGATAAATGAGTTTCCTTCCTCTAAACTAGCAAGAAAACTGTAACGCTGTAACAAAATAATTTAGTAAAATATACCAACAAATATTCTTGGTGATATATTGATACAGCAGCCCATGATATCAATACTGTATCGTCACATTAAACGATACGATATTTTGATATTTTTGCACACCCCCACACCCCTGTTTAACAGCACAAATCATCTCACCTCAGTTCCAACTAATTCTTTAACCTGAGGTTTGTCAAAAAACAAAGCTCATGTAAGTAGTAACAGAGCCTCAGACAGAGTAGAACCTATTGCACCCCCAAAGCTGTGACTAGTAACACGTATTTGCAGATATCAAATCATTTCACAATCTACGGTAAGATGTTTCTGAAATTCCTCAGAAAACAGAGAAATTCAATTCTGTCAACTAGATAAATCTATAAATCTATGGCAAGGCTCACAAAAGGAAGCCAACCTGGAGTCATGTAATTGTTATGAGGAGAATACAGGAACCTGAAAAGCAAAACAACATTTGAGCCCCGAATAAGTCCACGGACCCGTGATCCATCTCAGTCACCTCTTTATCAGAGTCACACCTCCCATCATGCACTGGGCCAGAGGGACGTGCCCAAATAAGGGAGCAGCACCTGACTCCACTCTACACTATCTGCATTCACTTTAGAGGGTCCCACACACGGTCGCTATAGGTATTTTAATTCACAAAGGTCTAGACTGTCAAAACAAGTATTGAAATGACAATTACAGGGAGTTGTACCTGAGCAGTTACTGAATGAATTAGGACCTTGACCAGATTTAAAGTTGCATTGTGTAACTTTTCAGGTGGAGGATCGGTCAAAGGCATTTCTCCATGGAGATGTTATTGCTTCATCTGGAATGTTATATTAATCAAATATTAAACCTTTCTATCTTCATGGAGACCAAACCAGACCTAAAGTTACAGGTCAGATCTGTGGAGAGGTGACCCTGCTCAAAGTCAGAATGTGAGTTTTTCAAGGTATTTTTGGGCTATAATACCACCTGTAGTTGAATAAATGTAAAGTAGGCAGGCAGCGCAATGACATATCCATAGAAACAGGTGACAGACCCTCTACAAGAAAAGTTACACAATGCACCTTTAAACCAACTGTGTTCAAATGTTTAAATAGATTTTCTAAACATTTGCGCACTTACCGTATTTTCTGCACTATAGGACGCACTCATAAGCCTCCAACCCCATCAAAAAACAACTGCGCGCCCCACAATCCAGAGCGCCCTATACACCAATCCACTCGAGTGTCCCAGCACGACTTCAGTAAACTACAAAGCCGCACCACCCACAGAACACACAAACACACACGGAGCAGACAGCAACCGCACAGCAAAAAACACCCACAGCCACACTCATCACTCGACGCCAACAAGGAACAGAATGGAGTAAGAAAAAGCGAGTGCAATGTGCCACTTCTGGACACAACTGAACAACTGAGTCACTGTGAACACGCCAACAATTCAGCGGTCCCAGACAGCACCCTCCCTACACGCCACAACTGAACAAAGCCCAGAGTCAACCTGAACGCGCCAAACAAAGTCCCACTGACCCATCCAACTATTGTGTTTCCTTTAAAGTAGAAAACAGACCATTCTATGACAGTGCGCCTTATAATCCAGAGCGCCCTATAGTGCAGCAAATACGGTAATATAAGAATCTTAAAGTAGAACTATTCTGCAAACTTGCATTTTCTGAGCATTTAATCATGTTACATTTGTTTCACCTCTCGTTTATTTCTCCAGTATTCAAGACATCATTGCTCTGATCCACCAGAGTTCTCCCTGCCACTGGTACATGCCCACTCTGACGTCCGCATTTTGTTTCCCAAATGGATTTCTTTCTTTTCGGGGTTAGTGTTGCGTTGCAATTTTGGTAGAAATGAGAAAAAAAATCCTCTGCTCGCTAGAGTGATGTGCAGCTATCCATAGGAGGAGCCCACAGCATGCAGTGCTGTGTTGTGATGTTTACAGCGATGTCAGCTCCTGTTGAAAGTTAGCTGACTTGTTTCTTTTATGAAAGGGTCCATCTCCTGCAAAATAACTCTTTTCACATTGTATCTTCTGCACATAAACAAGCACAATTTGGGTTTTGGAACATCCATTACACAATAGCTCTGAAATCTTATTGATTTCTTGGAGAAAGTCACAGACCAGGAACTATGAAAGGCCGACTATTGCTCATCCCCCCACCCGTCCTGAGAAAGCACAGGCTCCGCCCTCCAAACGTGACGTAGGCGACGAGTGAGCCGCCCTTCCTCCACCCATCTCAGGGAGGGAGGGGGAGACAGACGTGCACCCTGATAGTGGTAGGAATAAACTTTTATTCATCATGGAGATACAGCACGTTCAGCCGAATGTGTTGGACCTGGAATCGGACGAGGACTTTGAGGAGCACGAAGCTCAAGCACCGCGTCCACATCAACTGAACATTACTGATGGGTAAAGTATTAATAAACACTGGAAGATAAACTAATTATATCATGTTCACTGCAGTGTAGAACAATGAGCTTATGCTGTCGCTTTTGTTTAGGTGTTCATGTGGGAATTATCAGCTGATGCAGGGTAGACGTGGTGGGCCGGAGGTGGTGGAGCGGGGGAGGGAGGCGGTGAAGCGCTTTTTGCTACGTCAAACGCGTTATAGGTGTAGCTGCCGCGTCATCATCGTAGCAGCTTTAGTTTGTTGTCACGTGGGAGGGTGGCAGAAATAGGCTGCAATTTGTTAAAAAAATACCAAATCAATCTAAAAACGAACTTGGGCGGTATATACAAGGCCCACACATCAGTCTTAGAAGGTAGACAGCTCTGAAAAGTTGATTTTGAATGAGATGGGACCTTTAAATTGTTTTAGATGAGTATTGTGATTTAGATGTGTCATAGATTGTAACTACAGAGCAGACTCAAGCACAATAGGTCTTTTTTAATGACTCGTACCTCTTTGGGACACTGGTTATTGCAGGAAGTCAGTTTGGTCTTTGTCTCGTCATCTGCTGAAGTCCACTCTCTGTAAAAGAACAGAGCAGAGAACATCAATGTTAAGAGCAGTCAAATAATGCATTTTTCTACACTTTTTCTAAACTAAAGGCAACAAAAGGAATACTCATGACATTTGCGAGCTGACAAACTCACATGAATCTATCATGTACCGCTCCTGTGTCTGCATTTGGGTTCCAACCAATCACAGAGCAGAATTGTGGTTTGAGCGGAGCCAAAAGTGAAGCACCCAAACAAACCAAAACAAATATGGTAGCACAGATGGACGTACTTAAGCCTTTTTTTTTTTTTTTTTTAGCAGAAACAAAGCTCAGAGAAGCACGTTGTGAATTTGTGGAGGGAAAAGATATCAGATTTTTCTTTTCTGTTTCTCTCTGCTTGTTAGACCAATCAGTGAAAGTGTATGAAACTTCTATCTTTTCATTTTGACTTTCAGCAGGTTATCCCACATGTTGATAGAAGTACTTTGTGATATAAATGAACCCCTTTAATTTTCCATGGGACAAGACATCTACCACAATGCGAGACATGAAATTGGGTCCACGAGAATGAGACAAGATGCGATTTTGCGCGGTTCAGTTCACAATTTTGGCCTCACCATATTTTGTTTTAATATTTTGTGTCAATGTAGCACTGCTTTTTGGAAATGCAGCTTCACAGGAAGGTGCATCTCGATAGAATTTAAACCCTTTTTGTCAAATCCAAATGTAAAAACAATCTCACAAGATAAATTTTCTTGAGTTATGTTTAGTTTCATTCACACACGTTTGAGTAACCCTTTATTAGTCCGTTTTCAAGTTAACAGCTCCTTTTACATTTAGTTCAAAAGAGACTGGCAATTCCAGGGTTGAAATGATCCAAATGAATCTAGTGAAGGTGTATGGAGTTTAAAAACACAGTGGAGCACTTCACGTATGGATTGTTTTCCGTTTGAGAGAAGAGCTTAAACATGCAGGATTGGTGCATTAAACATGTTTGAATGAAACAAAACACAACTCCAGGTCTGTTTGGGATGAGCAAACATTATAACATTGATCAGAAAATAGTGTAATATGGGTATGGAAGATAATTTGTTTCATCAGATTTTTTATTTTAAATGCTGTTGAATTTCTCATTTGAATGTCTTAACTCTGAAAAAACATGTTTGAATATTCAAAAGGCGAATTTTTTATTTTGAATTTTACACTGTAAAGAAAAATCCAAGATGCCAAGGTCAAAGCAATCGATGCAAAGTAGGAAAGCAGGAAATGGTGCAGTGAACCAGTCTGACTGGTCAGAATTAGCCTCATCAGAACCTCATCAATTTATTTCTTAATTGTAAACTCCACCCACAGATGAGAACGGCCAAAAGAAAAACATCCGCTGTCCTCCTCACTCACACAGGATCCATTGCTTCTGCCTTGCCATCTTGGATCTTTGTTGTGAATTTTACACTCTGCATTTTAACTTTTGAATGTGAGGGCTTGAAAATATCTGTGCTGAATGTTGAAAAGGTGAAATTTTTATTTTGAATTTGAAATATATTGAAAAAGTATGCTTAAAATTTCAGCAACTAAAATTCAGAATAAAAATAATTCAATTATTTTTTCAGATTAAAAAAATTCAAAGTGAGAAATTCACCGGTATTTAAAATGCAAAATCTGATGGAACAAATGATCTTCCATATATTGGCCTTTTAAATACTGTCTTTGAGCAGACACTGACATGCAGGGGATGTAGAGGCTACTGATCTTGCAGTGGCAGCGTTGGCGGACAGTTTGAGAGCACGGAGGGCAGGGGGCGCTGTGGCACGACCTGGGGCAGGGGTGAGGGCAACCGGGGGGACGTGGTTTAGAGCAGCCCAACTCACACTCCTCACACTGCAACAAGAGAAACAACAGAGAGCTGGAGGTTAAGAGCTGAACGGGGGACATAGCTAAAGACAAATCATTCTAGGGTTGTCAAAAGGATTGAAAATCAGCTACTAACTTTTACAAAAACATGTATTGAAATTAGATACACATTTGCACAGGTATCAATACTGGAAAAAGTCACAGTCACAGGATAAATGTTATGCTTTCTTGAAGTTTCATTATCATTTTGAGCTTTTTTCAGGACTAGTCTAGGATCTGATGGTGACGTAAAGAAAGCACTATTATTTTATATATGAAAATTACATACTATTAAAAATACACATTTTATCTTCACTGTGATATCATAATCTGTATAGAGCAGACATGTTAAACTCAGGCCTAGGGGCCAAATTTGACCTGCGATATAATTATATTTGGCCTGCGAGATCATATCAAATATGTATTAGAGATGGGTTGCCGGTGACAGATAGACTAGAGACATTATTTTAAATTGTGTTATTATTTTAAATTCTGCTTGTTCTGGATTCAGTGTTTAAGTAAAACTTATTAAGCATTTATTTTAAGAAGTAAGAAAAGAAATAAGAAAATATTCTAAGAAAAGGTTTAACATTACATATCTCAAAACAAATGAAAACATGCAGATGTTGTTGAAATTTCTCAATATTTAGTTTGGCCCACGACTTATTCCCAGTTTTTAATTTTGGCCCTCTGTGAATTTGAGTTTGACACCCCTGGTATAGAGTATTGACAAAATTCCTTAGTATAAAAATGAGTTTAAAATGTTAGTATCATGACAACACTGGTTTATTAGAATATCATTAAAATGCTATCAATCAAACCTGGGGGAAAGAGGGTGCCTGATTTGTCTTGATCTTGATTTATGGACAAAATAGTAAAATAAAACAATAATAAAAAGAATATGTAGAGTGAGTTAATATGACCATTTTACGACCAAAATGAAGAGCCTCACAGCAGCAGTTACAGAGAGGTGCAACGTTTTTTCAATGGAAAGTGAAATGGAGCCAGAGTGGATAGAGCCGGAAGTGCACCCATGCTCGATTAGTATTTGGAACGCGGTGGATAGCGGGTTAGGTAATATCCATGAATATATAAAGTCTACGGATAAAAATACAGCTCAGGGCATTGCCTTGATTCTCTTTCTATACTGTGCAGTTAACAGTGGGCTTCACCTTGTTGCTGGGGGTGACCTGATGGCACTCACGGCTGCAGCGGTGGTTGGTGCAGGTCAAAGGTCGTCCACACTGTCGTCCGCAGGAGAAGGGGCCACGGCGGTGACACGGAACAGGACTCACCTTCAACATAACAACAGGCAGGTTATGAACAGAGCTAATACATGTAACATACATAAAATAATAGAAATGTGTTCCAAATGCTCATATTAGAACTGAAAATACAACAACTCTTAAACCCATACGAGCCCTCCTGCAGCCTTAGAGCCTCAGGCAGGTCCCTGTCCAGGTTTCCAAAGTCCAAGCTTCGGACAAAAGGTGACTGAACTCTTTCAGTGCGGGTGCCTCGGCTTTGGAATTGACCTGCCTGAGGAGATAAGGCTCGCACCATCATTATCATCTTTTAAATCATTTCTTAAAACTAATTTTTATGGGTTGGCCTTCCTTTAGCTGCTTTTAGCTTGATTTTATCCCTTATTTCTTTTTATTCAATTTTATTTTATTTTAATTAACTGAATTGTTTGCATCGTTGTCTGCCTTCTGTAGGCAATTTTTATGCTTTTTGTATTGTTCTTTGCTGCTTGTTCAGCACTTTGTAAATGTTGTTTTAAAAGTGCTTTACAAATAAAGATTTATTGTTGTTACTATTATTATAACAATAAGTTTAGCAAATTATTCTTTTCGCTAAACTTGTGGTTTTTAACATTAGCATTAACGAGGGCTGGGCAATATGGCCAAAAAATTTAAAATTTTTTGCACACCCGAGACCAGTTACGTTTTTAATAGATTTTATTGGAAGTCTTTCACATATGTCAAGTTCTTTACATTTTCATTCTTATCATATGCACTTTAAGAAATTGTAAACTGTCTTCACTTCCATTTGTAGATATCTAATTGTAACTGCACAATATCCCTGCTTTCCAAGAAAGAAAGTCATGAGTAAACTTGTTTAATTCATAATATTCCCTGCTTTCACGATTTAGCTTTTTTTTTTTTTGAGAATCCAAATGAATCAAATGAATTTGATTAATTGCCCATACTTAGATCATCATGTTTCCTTTTATTATTTGCTTTGAAAATGCTACGTTCACTGAAAACAACATATTAACATGTTTTATCATTTCATTTTCATTGTTGATGCTCTACCTTTGATCTGTGTATATAAGGCCTAGGAGAGATCGCTAAATTACTCAAGCATGCATGGACGACATCTAAAAGCTCTTCAGGCCCGTTTCTCATGAGGGAACAATGTTGATGGTGGAAAGCTCAAAAAACATTGCTTTATCACACACGCGTCCACACAGCAGTGTACACAGACACTGGGGGAAAGGTGGGTTAAGTGTCTTGCCTAAGGACACAACAACAGCATTCATGTGTGGGAGCTGGAAGCGCACAGCCAACCTGAGTCAGCACAGGTTAGTGCATCTGACCACTCAACCAATGAGGTTTATGTGGAGAGTTACTGTGGCCGTTAAACCCCCTGTTTAACATGCCGCGTCTCTCTTGTCCTTTCTGTGTGTTTTGAAAATGTTCAGCACTTTGTCCAAAACAAATTTCCCCCTGGGACATTAAATTATATCTGATTGATTGGCTCGGTGATGAACGACAGTATTCGTAGCTGCCAAGTATTATCCTTATTTAATTGTTTTTCCTACGTTAAGGTTTATTGCAGATTTAATGAAGAAAAGCAGAGAGCACAGAACAAAAACAAAGATTAATTTAAACTGACCTCGTGTTCTCCAAAACACGACCTGGAAAACAAAAACAAAATGGCGTCAGCACATTCTCAGTAAACTCCCAATGAGTCAACACAGTGAACAGGTGAAGTCGTACTCTTACCTCAATGAAATATGTTTACAGCCACATTTTTGCATAATTCAGACAGAGATGAATAATGGGATAAAGCAACTTGTTTTATCACCATTGCCAAGCATCATTTAGCAAAGGAGAAAAGTAACAAATACTCACGTTACTGTAACTGAGTAGATATTTTTAGCTTAATTTTATTTTTGTTGATTTTTAAAGAGCTCATATTACTCTGATCTATGTTACAATGCTATTTCTTCACCAAACAAATATCTGGAGTTGTGTTTTGTTTCACTCACACATGTTTAACACAGAATCCCTGCATATTTTGACTCAGTTCTTCTCTCAAGCAGAAAACACTTTGTGATGTCATGAGGCAATACAGGAAATGCTCCACTGTGTTTTTAATTTCCATACACCTTCCCTAGAATCATTTGGATGCTTTCAGTCCTAGAATTGCCAATCTCTACTGAACTAAAGGTAAGGTAAACTTAAGGACAGCTGTTAACTTATAAACTAACGCTTCATGACATCACAAAGTGGAATAGAGCATTTTGATCTTGGAAATGTTGATAGTCTAATAGAGGATAACCGTATTTTCCACACTACAGGGTGCACTTAAAAGCCTTTAATTTCATCAAAAAACAACTGCACGCTTTATAATCCAGAGCACCTTATATATGAATTTATTGGGGTGTCTTAGTACGACTTTAGTAAACTACAAAGCTGCTCCACTTGCAGCATTACGGCTCCCGTAGTCAAGAGCATCAGGAGTAATACATACTGCGATTCCTTTTAATATCAAAATGCAACAACGCCCACTTTAAACTCAAAGCTGTTATAAAGTGAAAGTGTGAGCTGTGTGGGAGCAGTGGATGAGAGAAGGAGAACACACATTCACCAAGACAGAGAGACAGCACCGAGCCACTTACACCACGATCTGCCAATGGATCGTGGACGCCTGGGCTAAGGATCAGTATCAACTGTGGTCCGAGCTTTCACCAAGACCAGAATCATCACTGAACTGCCAGGGAACAGTAACCACACTGACTCGGATAATGACGAGAGGGATGTGGGCGTGATGGACGCTGTAATCAAGCAACTGTGTGAACAATTATGACTTATTGTGAATACACCAACAATTTAGCATCTCAGACAGTATTTTTTTTACAAGTTACAACTGAACAAAGTTGAGAGTTATTGTGAATGCGTTAAATAAAGTTTGACTGATTTATCTAACTGTTGTGTTTCGTTTAATGCAACTTATAGTCCGGTGCAGTTTATATGTGAAAAACGTTCGAAAATAGACCATTCAATGACAGTGCGCCTTATAATCCAGAGCACATATAGTGTGGAAAATACGATATTCAAACATATGCGAAAGAAACAAAACAACTCCAGGTATATTTCTGAGGAAGTAACAATGTTCTAACATGGCTTAAAGCTCACAAGAGTCAATTTTGTGTAACACAGATCACACAAACATGCGCAAATCACTCCAAATACAACTTTGAGAGGGTAAAATAAAATAGGTCTGCTGTTTACATCTAGTAATTAAGTTTTGTGAGCCAATTCTATAATATGGCCTTACTGTAATCCATCATTGCATTTCATTTTGCATAGTTGTTATATTCACTCCTACCTCTACAATGGACCTACTACAAAAAATCTTGTTTTTGTGACATAAATTATGTTTTGGATCTGTGGGTTCTTAATCTAACTAAGAGTGACAGAAGTGCCCCTCTGGAATCTGTATGATCCTGAGCTCCCACACCACCTCCCCCTGTGTTTCAGTGGCAGAGTGGTTAGCCTGTCACCTCCTCTCAGTATAGAGGTTGTGGGTTAGACCTTCTTCTTGTCCATTCTTTTTCTTCTTAATAATTCCTCTTGAAATCTTACGTCATAGATATTGATAATTTACAGCTAATGCCATAAACTTTATCGTTTCAGTAATAATGTTGAACAGTTTATTTGGGGATTTTAAAAAAAATATAAATACATATATTTATTTAATTTTTTAAATATAGAAATTGTAAATATATAGCTTATTTTTTATACATTTATGTTTTTCTATGCTTTATTAAGTACATTTTATTTATTTTATGTATTTTGTTTTATATATTGCAAAACTGCCCTAAAGGTACATACAGCTCTGGAAAAAAAATCAGAGACCACTGCATTTTTTTGTCTGAAATGGTGAACAGCACAGCAAGAATGGATTGAAACAGGCTCCTAGGGGCAGGGCTCAAGACATGTAAAGCTAGAAAAAACCCTTTCATCAATGAGAAGCAAAAAAGAGCCAGGCTGAGGTCTGCGAAAGACCATAAGGATTGGACCATCGAGGACTGGAGTAAGGTCATCTTCATCTCGGTGGAGAACATGCCAAAACGAATGAAAGCTGTGTGTTATTTCAACCATTTGTCATTTTCTGCAAATAAATGCTCTAAATGACAATATTTGTATTTGGAATTTGGGAGAAATGTTGTCAATAGTTTATAGAATGAAGCAAAGAATTTCATTTTGCTCAAACACATACCTATAAATAGTAAAATCAGAGAAACTGATAATTTTGCAGTGGTTTCTTATTTTTTTCCAGAGCTGTATTTGTAGTCTATATTTATTTTCAGTTTGAAAGTTTTGGATAAATTATCAATAAAGTGTTTTTTTAGAGAGAGAAATGCTGAATAAACACATTGTGTAACAAAAAAATAATTGTTTGAATAATCGTAATTTCAATATTGACCAAAATAATTGTGATAATGATTTTTTCCATAATCAAACAGCCCTAAGCAGATCTTTATTTTAACACAAGAAATAGTTGATTTAGCTGGAACTACAACAGGTGAGCTGATTTGTGACATTTTTCAGTTAGTCACACTCACTTTTTTGTTGAAAATCAAACTTCTAAACAGGACCACAAACGCACATATTGACAAGCTCCTGAAAATCTGCTGTTTATAACGATTTTCTGTTTTTTTCTTGAGTTTTCAAACAATCTTACAACTTTTTGACAGTGTTTGACAGTGTGTGCATTGTGTCACCATGGTAACTGCTATTCTGCCAATAGAGATACATGTAGAACCCCCCCAGCGTGCCGTCAATGCAAAGTATAAATACTGAAGCAATCCAAGTCTCCAGTTAAATTCGTGTAGACTGTCTCTACTTTGTTTTGACATGTTTAGACCAGTTAAGGTTGAACTTGTCTAGTTATTTTTGCAGCGTGCGTAACTGCTCTGTGTCAATAGAACTTGTGGTTTTTGTGTTTTCACTGTTTTAATGGTTTAATTTTCTTTTGCGTCATTTGCAAAGTACAGTTTTTTGGCCGTTACAGTGAAGTGCGTGAGTTTATTTGAAAGAAAACTGAGATGTGAGAGAAGCCAAAGTCCAGATGTGTGTCCACAGCTGTGTCCAGCGTTATACGACCAACAGGGGTCTTTCTGCTGCACCACAATACAACAACACACACATGCACAAACAGCTAAATATAACAAAGAGATATTATTGAACTGGCTCACGCAACTTAAAAGCCGTCCGTCACCTGCTTGTTTCTATGGATATGTCACTGTCCTGCCTAGAATGTTCCACAGTATGACATTAAACAGCTCTAGTTTACATTTATTCAATTACAGGGGGTCTTAAAGCTCAAAAATACCTAGAAAAACAAACATTCGGACTGTGAGCATCTCCACTCTCCATGAAGATAGAAAGATTGAATGTCATTCTGTGAAACATTAAGATAAAGCACATAGAAAGCAAAGTTACACAGCGCACCTTTAAACAAAATTTCTACCATGTTATAACGTTGTTCCCTCATCAAAAACACACGTGGATGACATCTCTTCAGGCATGTTTAAGTAATTTAGCGATCTTTCCTTGGCCCTCTTTTGAACCCTCCTTTATGTTTACTGTATTTTGCGCACTATAGGCGCTCTGGATTATAAGGCGCACTGTCATTGAATGGTCTATTTTCAAGCTTTTTTCACATATAAACCACACCGGACTATAAGGCGCATTAAACGAAACACAACAGTTAGACTATATAAGTCAGTCAAACTTTATTTAACGCGTTCACAATAACTTTCAACTTTGTTCAATTGTAACGAGTAAAAAAATACTGTCTGAGACGCTAAATTGTTGGTGTATTCACAATAACTCATAATTGTTCAAACAGTTGGGTGATTACAGCGTCCACACGTCCACATCCCTCTCGTCATTATCCGAGTCAGTGTGGTTACTGTTCCCTGGCAGCTCAGTGATGATTCCGGTCTTGGTGAAAGCTCGGACCACAGTTGATACTGATCCTTAGCCCAGGCATCCATGATCCATTGGCAGATCAGTCACTTGGCGCTGTGCATTTTGATATTAAAAGGAATCACAGTATGTATTACTCCCGATGCTCGTGACTACGGGAGCCGTAATACTGCAAGTGGTGCGGCTTTGTAGTTTAATAAAGTCGTACTAAGACACCCCAATAAATTTATATATAAGGTGATGAAATTAAAGGATTTAAAGTGCACCCTATAGTGCGGAAGATGTAAGATTCAGTACAAGGCTCTGCCCACAAGCCTATGTCACCCAGGTTCCCACACAATTCTCCATACATATACAAAAACATGATACAAAACTGTACCCAACAACTTCACTAACCTGATGTGACGTGCAGTAGTTTCATTAGCCAGATGCACATTTTCAAAACAATAAAAGGTAACATGGTCATCTAAACATGTTATGTGTTAGCAGTTAATACCTCATAGAAGTAAAATACCCCCTCTTTAAATGGTATAACAAAATACTTTAAAAAAGTAGTTTTCAATATAATTAGTTGTTTTTTTTTTAACTGCAGTCAGCATATTCTCTGAGATTTGGCCAATCAGAGCGGTTTTGTCTGGTAATAAGAACAGAAAGGAACAGCTGGACTGGGCCAATCTGAGCCTCTGCTTTACTCAGTAACTCTATTATTTTAATTGTAATTGACTGTAATTACACTTAAATACAACTACAACTGAGTACATGTTTAAAAATCAACTCAAAAGAATGCAATTACAGTTATGTGAGTTGCTTGAATTGTGTAAGTGAATGACGCTTGGCAATGCTAACAAAACAAATTGGATTAACCCCATGTTTTAGAATTGTACTAAAATGCGGTTTTAAACAGTTATCAGGACTAAACCAGGTCTAAACCAGGTCTAAACCAGGTCTAAACCAGGTCTAAACCAGGTCTAAACCAGGTCTTGGTACTCACGTTGGGATAGGGACTTGGCAGGGGGGACAGGGCAGAGCCTTCTTCTCAAACGCTGGTTTTGACGGCTGCTCCCAGGGTCCAGCCAACTGCACCTATAATACAACACAATACAGCACAATATTCAACACATATTAATTAGTCAGACCCTCTCAGGCTCTCGTAAACATTTTAGTTAACAGCAAATTGTGTGCAATATGGATCTAAAACAGCTTAAGAATTGAAACAGATCCATTAACATCCTGTTTAGAATTAGCACTGCCAACAAGATGAATTCGCAGGATTATTGTGAATTCACAAACTCTAAAGAATCAGTCTTGCTCAAGTCCAGCTGAAGAACTCACTTGGGATTGGTTCCCTAGACTGACCAATCACAGGGCAGCACTATGGTTTAAGCAGAAGCACCGAATGAACCAAAGCACACAGATGCAGTTCAGCCTGTTTTAGTGGAAATATGGATGGTTTTAATATTGGAAAAAAAAAAAATCCATGTGACACAATCTGTCTCCTTTTAAAGGTTGTATGGAGGATTTTTTTTGGTTTCCAATTGTCAATGATAGCATTATAGAGGTGCAGTAGCCTTGTAATTATGATGACCAAAAAAAAAAGAGAATAAAAATTCATCAACTCTGGACGTGGTGGGGCTAAACATTTGCCAATAGATAACGGCACTGCCTCGTTATCTGTGAGCTGATAGGCTGTCAATCAAACTCCCTACGTGTCTAGCCTAACTGACTTGCCTGCGCGCTGCCATTACGTGGTTTACGTACGAATGTCACGCAGTCCACAGACGCAAGACGCACAGACGCTGTTTACTCCACCAACGCAACAGTTCTTAGCGGCTTTTTTGACCTATGTCTTCCTCGCAGTTCGCACAAAGTTTGTTGCAATGGAAGACAAGAATCTACGAGCAGTTAGCCGCAAAAGAAAGTCCGTTTTTGAGGTCGCTGAAAGAAGAAGACAAGGGGAAAAGCAGCAAAGCCAAACTAAGGTGATTCTTGGAGATTCATTCCAGCGATGGCGCGACTGAAGCAGACGAAGGGTCTAAAGACTGACGCACTGGTCCACAAATTACTCCTGGACAGGTCAACTTCTGCTTATTATGAAAACGTACTTTATTTCCAAGAGCTAGTCAAACGTTTTTCAGGACACGAAAGCAATATCCTATGTCTGAAAACGTAATTTTCAAGGCAAAGAAAGAATCCGCTTGCTGCTGCGTGTTGTAGCTAGTTCATTCGCACGGAATCTCCGCGCACCCTTCTCTGCACCCTTTCCTGCTCCTCTCCCCGCTCTTCCCCCTGCTCCTCACTTCTCCGTGCATGGAATCTCTGCGCACCGCTCCCCTCTCCTCTCTCCGCTCTTCTCCCTGCTCCTTACTTCTTCTCCGCGCACGAAATCTCTGCGCACCCCCTCCCCCCGCTCCTCACTTCTCCACCTTGCCTAACCAACACTGTAGTTAGTTACAAGTCATGTGCAGCGCACCGGCTGTAATCAAACCTGTTTCTGGCGTGAGGAGGTGGGAGGAGGCGTTTCTACATAGGGAGCTGTGGAGGAGGGGGGGTGGTTTCACGCATGCGCAACATTTGAAAAACAACAAACAGTCGCTGGATTTCTCGTTCCTTGGAAAATCCTCTATACAACCTTTAAATGGTATAGACTTGAATGTACCTGTTGTGACTGCACCAGGACGCGGTCGTGACAGGGCTGGGGGCACTGGTGTTCACAACCCTTCAGAGGCCGGGCACAGGGCAGGGCACAGGGCGGGCAGGGACCTGGGTGACAGCGGTGAGGCTGGAGGGATGGGTGCTGGCACTCAGGAGGGCGTCTGAAGAGGAGATCAAACTTTAACATGACCGCAACATGAAAGAAAACCTGCTTCAGTCCTGGTGGAACTCTGAAGGCTACTCCACTATGTGAATATGTTTGTTTGTCATTTTGGCTACATAAAACATGTGGCTCATTCACAAGTGAAACATTGGAAACTGATGCAAGAAGCTTGTCTGGAACTAAAATGAGCTCAAAACAGCCCAGATAAATATGACTGAAGGCCAACTCACACAGACAGAGACGCTCTGACCCTTGGCAGAGGCCATCTCTGTAGACGCCTGCATGATTAGAACTTTGATCTGAACTGGGGCCTGGTTAGTAGTTGGATGGGAGACGGCAGGTGTCAGTGGCAAAACCTGCCTTTTGTATCTTTAGGGCAAGACACTTCACCCACGTTGCCTAGTATGAATATGGTGTTGGTGGTTGGAGGGGCTGATGGCACACACTGGCAGCACTGCTCTGGTGTGTGTTGGCCTTTAAAAGTGTCCAGTCCCAGTTACCTGCAGAGCTGTTTACACCTGGGGGGCTTGGTGTTCCTCTCTCTCCCACAGGGCACCACCAGGACGGTCTGTCCACAGGAGCAGCTCACTTTCACAGTCTCAGGGCAGGGGTAGCACGCTCCTAAAACATCAACACAACCAAAAGATCACACGTTACACTTCTAAATCAATAACAAACAATGTAGAATGTAGGGTCGTTAAAAGTATCAAAATTTAAAGACTAATTGATACTAAAAATAATCCAAATCAAAACTTTAGATACTCATGTGAGCAGGTATCGGTGTGTGAAAAAAAAAAAAATCACTTTAACAGGACAAAATTTGAACTTTCCTGAACAGTTTAACTGCCATTTTGAGCTTTATCAGAACAAATCTAAGACCTCATAGAAACATATAAAGAAAGAACTATTATTTTGTAAAAAATTACATTGTATTACCAAAACAGTCATCTTCATCATCATTGTATTATAATTGGCAATGACAATTTTATTATTAAAAAAAATAGTACAGGCTTTTGATGATATGAAGTTTGACCAAAATCTAAATAGTTGTAGCATCAATTGAAATTTTGCCAGCAATTGAAGCCATTAACATACCTATAGCTGCCCATAATAGTGGTCCATGGGTGTATACTAAGATCATTCAAATCGACTGAGGAAAGGTTCATTTCTGTCCTGTGAATGTGGCTTTTTTTAGTATCGACACATACTCAAATGAGTACCTGGTTTCAATAGTAGTTTTGGCATTGATTAGAATCTGATTTTGGACACTTGTGACAACCCTAGTCTGAAAAGATCATTAAAAGAATGGATTAAAAGAATGAAATAAAGTTGTCCTAAAAGATGAAACCAGGTCAAAGCTTCAGACCTCTGGATTAGAGTGAGTAACTCATCATAAAACAGTTTTGCATTGCTGACATTTGGAGCCATTTTGTACTTCGTCTTTTGTTCTGAAGGAAAAGGGCTCATTATTGCCACGCTGTGATTGGTCGATAAGGTGAGATGCTGTGATGTGATTGGCTGCTGTGACCTTTGAGAGAGACTCATACAAACAGAAGGCTGACGACAGATAACAGAAACAAAAAACAAAAAAAGGTGATATAACGTTTTTTGTTTGGTTTTTTGAAGCGACACGGCGGCTCTCTGTAAATGTCATGAGAGCTTTTTATTGTTAAAGGTCCTGTATTATTCAGTATTTACACTTTTATGCAGGCTTTAAATTGTTAGAATGCTACAAATAAGACAATATTTAATATAGTATATAAACCAGGTCTTTTGCTACAGTATATAATATTTATAAAACGTTTATCTGTCTCCAGGGCGATTTTGTCAGATTTTATTTTTTTTTCCTCAAAAAAATTGATTTTCAAATTAATTTTCTATTTTTTCTGCACATGTTCTGCAAACTACAGAAAATGGTCAGAATTGAAAATATTGTCTTCAGTGGTCATATTGAACTTATTGGCCCTTGGGGAAATCTTTAATGAATCAAACAAAAACTATTACAAACACAGTTTAACTTGATGTCACTGATTTCAGAGCATCAGCTGCAGGTCCCTGTGTTACACATGGCCCTGTGACTGCAGTGCAATTGATTTAAACTTCAAATTGGATTAAAGCTGTTTTTACTCAGACCCAAGTGTTGTTGTTTTTTTAACATCAATACTGAAAACAATGATTGTTTTGTTTTGGAGGAAAAAACTCTAAAAAATAATCATTAATTTTAATTTGAAAAAGCAATATCTTTAAATATTAAAGATGTCCACTGTTCTGTACTTTCATTCTCAAATGTGTAGTCATTTTGGTCCAAATAAGGAAAAAATGCTCTGCTCTAGTTTGATGTGCATCTATCCATAGGAGGGGCCCACAGCACACGGTGCTTTGTTGTGATGATGTTTACGGCCACTTCAGCTCCCACTGGGCACCATCATTTTCTAACATGAAAGTCAGTGGACTTTTTTCTTTAACCAAGTTGTTTTAGATTAATATTACAATTGAAAATGTCCAAATTATAACAATGATTCACATGCACAATATGTCTTCTTTAAATACAACTCCTTAGAATTAAAAAAAATATATATATGAGTAGTAGGAATAATACTGCTATTCCTACTACAACTCCAACCACTCCTACTCTAATCTGTCAGAGTAAAATATGTCTCTATCCAGTCCAATGATATTTCACCACTTCTTTTTTTCAGCTAATGTTCTGTTCTCTACTGAAAATATTCATTTGACCCCTGACCTCTGCACAGCTGCGGCTCTTATCCAATCAGATCACATCGTTCAAACACTGATGTGATGCGACAAAATCAAAACCAAACGAGCGAAAGTAATCGACCTATCACAGCGCAGGAAACGGCCACATCAACATCAGAACAGGAGTGGCACCATCTGATAACACAGGCCATGTTAGAAGTAGCTAGTACTGACAAAAAATGTATATACCGTAGTATTTTTGGAACCAAAAATAATAATTAGATCTTCTTATTTTCATGCCATGATACAATACATATCTCGATACAGTGCACTTTCGATTCAACACAGTTAAAAAAAATAAAAATAAAGGCAAAATCATCTGTAGCACTGTAACAAAATAATTTAGTAAAATACACCAAAAAATACTCTTGGCGATATATTGATACAGCAGCCCACCATATCCATATGGTGGCTGGCATGGTGGCCAGGATATACCTTGGTGGCAGACAGAGGGGCACTTGTGGTTCCTACAGCCCAAAGAACGCCCACAGCTCTGATCACAGGGAGGACACTCTCCAGGACAGCACTGAGGAAGAAAGAGGAGAGAGTCATACGAGGGGCTCAGAAGAGGAGAGGGTCAAGGGAGACGGAGAAGGGTGTCAGAGGAGCAAAAGAAAAGGTCAGAGTAGCACAGGGTAAGAGGGGAGGGTCAGAGAAGACTAAACTAAAACAGGTGTATTTTGGAATCAGTCTTCTCTCATTTTTGTAAAGTGCCTGAAGATATGTTTTAGGGCTCTAAGTTGGAATGGATAAAAAAAAAAAACTGATAATATTGCATTAGTTGAGATATGCAATTCCAAAAAAAAAAAAATAAAAAAAAAAGCCCAAGATAAAACAAACCTTTGTAACCTTGTACCTATAAGTTTAGACTTCTATGTGTTGTTAGCAATTCATATGGAGTTGTTAACAATGTGGACTCTGAACAGTTTCCTAAAAATCGCTAATATGATCATAATACAACCCTAGTCACTAGATAAAAACGACTCACTATGACAAACCAGGTCTAAACTCGGTCTAAACCAGGTCTAAACTTGGCACATTTGAGACCAAATGTGGATCCTTCCCGAGGGCGGGCAGATCAAATGTGACAGTTTCAGTGGAAATGTCACAGAGATGGTGATAATGAAATAATCAAAAGGGCAAACAGTTCTGAGAATCACACGCTTTTAAGGTCAACCTTGAGCGCAAGAGAGGGGGGAGGAAGAGAAGAGAAAGATGAGGAATGAGGAAAGAGGAGAGAGAGGAGAGGCAAAGGGAAAGACAGAGAGAGAGGAGAATAGGTAAAAGGAAAGGAAAGACAGGAGAGGAGAGAAGAAAGAGGAGAGGAAGAGAAGAGGAGAGACATGAGGAATGAGAAAAGGAGCGAGAGAGGAGAGGGGCATAGGCAAAAGGCGAGATAGGAGAGGAGAGCGAAGAGGAGAGGAGAGAAAGATTAGGGGAGGGATGAGAGGTATAGGGGGAGACGAGAGGCAAAGCAAAGAAACAGAGGGGGGCAGAGGCAAAAGAGAGGAGAAGGAGCAGTGAAAAGCGAGGGGGAGAGAGAAAGAGGGAGAAGTTTTTTTTTAATTTAATTTATTTATTTCGGTCACAGGTATATTTTGACATTAATTCATAAACAGTCATATTTAACATATACAGACCGAAAAGGTGCAGGCTGAAGCTTAAGCTTATTATGCCTACCCTTTATTCCTTTGTCAGAGCTTCATCTTGACATCAGTTCATCTTCATAAATACAGCAGGAGGAAACAAACTAATCAGTAACAGAACAACAAAGTACTACAGCACAAACTAAGTCTCATATTTCATGTATCTGTCCAGAGTTAAACATTTAAACTTCTTTATGAAGTGAAAGAAAGTGGTACACAATTTTAGGTTTTCTGTACAGTTGTTCCAGAGCTCCACCCCTTTAACAGATATACAAAATTTCATAATGTTTGTTCTGATTTTCTTTTTAATAAACATGGTCGTGCCTCTGAGCTCATATTGGCTATTTCGGATTTTGAACATACTTGACAACTTGAGAAGTGGAGGCAAAGGAGAGAAAAGAGAAAAGGAGAGAGGAGCAGGCAAGAGAGAAAGATGGTGAGGCTAGAGTCAGCTCAAACTTGATGTTAAAGACAGATGAGAGAGAGTGTTAGTTTAGTCTTTTGTGTGTACCTTGCGTCTGCACTGGTGTCTCTGGCAGCTTCGTGTCTTTGAGCATTTTGAGTCACACAGATATTCTTTATGACACGGCATCAGCTTCCGGTGTTTTCCACAACGGCACTCCTTCTCCACCTCCTACAAGAAAACACACAGGGTTAAAATAATAATATAATAGCAGACAAAGCGGATCATGACAAAATGTAGAACCGCACAGACACTATGGATGGGCATGATTAGTCGATTAATTGATAATTGATCATTAAGAATTTCATCGATTACGTTATTTTTTAATCGACAAACCGAATGTAAGTTGCTGGGTGACCAAACGTCCGTTTTCCCCCGGACATGTCCGTTTTCCACATCCTGTTCTGGCCGTCCGGGTTTTTTTTTTTTTTTTTATAAAGGTACGCAAATGTCCAGGTTTTCATTACCTTTCATTGGGCCATTAAACTGAGCGTCTCTCATAGCTCTCTCTGCACTCAGAAGGAGCGAGCAGACACAAACAGTCGGTCAGCTGCAACATGCCGAAGCGCAAATGTGCATTTAACGATGACTTGCACAAGAAATTCCCCACTTTCCGTCTTGGTCGGTAAAAGTGGGAGTGTGCACAGTGTGTAAAGCAGGCACATATGTTTCGGTGTCCAGTGGGGGTGCCAGGAACCTCAAAGCTCACCAGGATATCAAAAAACATGAAAAAGCTTTGCCAGGTGAGAGTAGCTCAATGTCGATGACGAGGCCCCACCTCCCACCCCCCATTCAGTGTCCTGGTTTTGACAAATGCAAATATGGTCACACTAACCTATATTCCACTGAGTCGTGTCCTTTAGTCCGACAGAAGTTGACTGCATCAGCGACACAAGAGCTGTATTTTTCTTCGCTTAGTTTATGCAAGTTAGCCATGCGGTTTTAAGATTCGAAAAGCTGCATTAAACACATTATAATGTCAAATGGGCTGATGTGGCTCTAGAGTGGTTATGGTTTCTATGTCGTAAAGTTGAGTTTATTTATGCAGATTAGTAGTGCAGATAGTAATAATAATGATGATCATTTTAATATAAAAATGTTAATGATTAATCGAAAATTGATCGTTAATTCTCCTGATGATCGATTAAGAAAATGTTATCGAATGCCCATCCCTAACAGACACAGACGGACTATTTCAAATGCACACATAACGTTTACATGTTACCTGTCGGCAGGTGTCACAGTTGCCGCGGTGACACCTCCTGGAGCAGGTGTGCTTGCCGCAGGTCAAAGGTCGATCACAGGTGTCTCCACAGGGCAGCACCTCCTCCGCACAACCCGCCGAGCTCTCTGCAAGAAAATACATTTGTTTGTCTTTCATTATGCTTTTATGTTAGGCCTTAAAACAGACAGAATACTCTTCTAACTGTTAATAATAAAGAAATTATTATTATTATTATTATTATATAGTTATTAATCAGCACAAAGCACATGGATAAAAACAAAAAGTGTCAAATAGTCAAAATTGTCAAAATGGCTAAAATGTACCTAAGAGCTCCATTATATTTATATTTATAAAACAGCAGAAAAGTAGAGTGGGTCTTACTGGTTTTGCCACAGGGGCAGGTCCTGTTGACGGCGCGAGGACACGGAGGACAGGGGGCGCTGTGGCACACCTCCTCACACGTGTGGTTCCCGCAGGAGAGAGGATGCCCACACACCTGTCAATCAAATATACAGTTTAAATAGTATAAAGTAAAATACATCCTCACCCCCGGACTCAGACAGCACAGGGGATTCCTCAGAGTTTCCATGATGAGTTAAATAAATAAAAGTTTTGTCGCATGTAGCAGACATAGTGCTTGGGTAACACTATGACACCTATTGTTTGTTAGTGCAGTGACTGGGCAGTAGGTGGCAGCAGGTGGCAGCACTTGCCTGTGTACAGTTCCACAGCGGCTCTGCACAGGGCCTCTCTTTCCTCTCTCGTCCGCACTCACAGCGCTGCACACTCACCCGCGGGCAGGGCTGGCACTCTGGGTGCAAAACAGGGCAAAAATATAAACAAAGAACAGGCTTAAATTGTCATCTCTCACCTTAGACATGTTTTAAACTCAGAATTTGAGATGCTAATTTCAGGCTGCAGGTTTAGGTAAGATAAGTGCAGGTAACAGATTTTAAAATTCTTCTATAAGATTCATCAATGGCACCTTGTAGGGAGAAATGTTATTGCTTCTCTTTTTTATGATTGTACATTCTGTATTTAAACTAGGGATGGGCATTCGATTACATTTTCTTAATCGATCGTCGGGAGAATTAACGATCGATTATCGATTAATCATTAACGTTTTTATATCAAAATTATCATCATTATTATTACTATCTGCAGTACTAATCTGCATAAATAAATTCAACTTTACGACATATAAACCGTAACGACTCTAGAGCCACATCAGCTTGTTTGACATTATAATGTGTTTAATGCAGCTTTGCGCAACTCTCACAGAAACAAAACTTAAAACCACATGGTTAATTTGCATAAACTACGCGAAGAAAAAAAAAAACAGCTCCTGGAATATAGGTTAGAATGACCATATTTGCGTTTGTCAAAACCAGGACACCGTACGGGGGTGGGAGGTGGGGACATTGCGCTACTCTCACCTGGTAAAGCTTTTGAATGTTTTCGGTGTCCTGGTGAGCTTTTTCCCACTGGACACCGAAACATATGTGCCTGTTTTGTACACTGTGCACATGGCCTCCCACTTGTCCCGACCAGAACAGAAAGCATGGAATTTCTTGTACAAGTCATCGTTAAATACGCTTTTGTGCTTCGGCACGTTGCAGACTGACCGACTGTTTGTGTCTCACTCCTTCTGAAGTGCAGAGAGACATGTACGGACCCCTGTTTGGTCACACTACTCTACGCACAGCAACCTACATTCGGTTTGTCTATTAAAATGAACGTAATCGATGAAATTCTTAATGATTAATTATCGATTAATCGACTAATCATGCCCATCCCTAATTTAAACTGTTACGGTGCTTGTGTAGCGTTATATATAATGTCTTGTATGTTATTTTAATGCCAACTATAGTACCTTACAATGTGTGTAGTGCAAAAAATCACTCTGATGCAGGGAGAAATGCATGGCTTTGTAAACAGTGTGACAGGTGACTGACAGGTGATTGAGACGTGATTGACAGGTGAGGCTTACCCGAGTGGCAGAGCTGGGAGCAGGTGTGCTGTTTACAAGGAAGGACTTTAGCACAGACCTGCTGACACGACCAGGGCTGAAACCAGAAAAGATGATACTGAAGACAGAACAAAACCACAGGAGCAGAAAAAGAGAAGCAGACAGGAGCAGCAGGATGTGGTGTGTGAGACATGTCCAGTAGGGGGCGATGCAGACCTTGTTGCTGCAACGTCGGGGCAGAGGTTTGGCTTTTCCGCACAGACATGTAACTGACACCATCTTTGGACACGGAGGACAGGGACCTAAAATCAAAGCAACAATGAGTTTACTAAAAATATACCTCATGCAAATAGAAAAAGAAAAAAACATGGATTTTTCTAAGTATTGTGATAATTATTAGAAAAATTAATTATTAAACTAATCGAATAACCCCATGAATTTCAGAACATGTTCTTATAGGTAAAAGATGATGTTTTTTTTATTTAAAAAATACAGGATATTTAGTTTTTTCGCACAGAAAGTTCCATTATGTAAATAACTGCATCCTTAAAATTGCAAATACATTTTAGATTGCTATTTATTGTGCAGTTCTAGAATAAAAAGTAAACTTACAGTCTAATTTATCATTTTAAATGTGTGTGAAATTAGATGTGATCACCTTAAAACATTTACATTTGTTTTAACCCAAAGCACAAAATGCGATCACATGAAATGCCATTTTCAAAACTGTACAATGTACTTTTTAGTCTGTTAACATAGATACATGGATATCAGCGTGGGTCTTGTGAGAGCAGCACCTGGGTGACAGAGCAGCAGGCAGGTGTGACCACAGTTTGGCTTCAGTTTTTTTTCACAAATGGAGCCACAAGAGTGAGGAACGAGCCACGGGTCTGAAGGGGGGTCCTGCACTTTCCCACAGTAACACAGGTACCTAAACACAACACGAGGAAAGACAGGTCAAAATTTCTCCTGATTGGTCTGTCACGATATCACATTTTGAAGCATGCTACAGAAAAATTTTATGATCATATTGAAACTACTTTATGTCGCAGACACAAATACAATAAAGCAGGATAATCCCAGAAAACCATAATAGATAAACAGTATCATTATATGGCCTGAGCTGCAACATATAAATTACATAATACAAGTTAGTTACTCATTCCTTTAAACTCTCATTCAATTCTAGTTTAATCCTGGTTTAAAGATGGTTTAATTTCGGTTTAATCCTAGTTTAGTCCGTTTATACTATACTGCTCAAATCAGGCATGAGCAGAGCCAGAGGAGCAGACAGAAGCAGCTCAAAATCATATAAAATCTTACTGTATTTCTGTAAATTAAAAAAACAAAACTCCCCATTAATGCAAAGAAAAAGTACAAAAGTACATGAATATTGAGCTCAAACACCTATTGTTCCAGTTCATATGTGAACAATAAGTCGATTAATTATCATGACAGGCCTAGTCCTGGTGTAAAATTTGTCTGATCCCTGGTTTAGTCTTTGGCCAAGAAGTTTCTGGTTTAGTTCATAGTTTAGTCCCAGCTACAGTCTCTGGTTTGTAGCTCCCTCTAGTGGTCAAAGGACTCACCTGTTTGGAGTGGCACTGGGAGGATACTCTGCTCTGCATTTGGGACTGAAACACAAATCAAAAACAAACTCTCTTAAAACTGAAGTATCAACATAAAATAAATAATGTAAAAATATGAAAGTGATATCTGGGTCAAAATGGGATACATAAATGAAGTCTTAAAGGTGCATCGTGTAACTTTTCTGGTCTAGGTTCTGTCAAGTGCTTTTCTTCATGGAGATGTTATTGCTTTGTCTGGAATGTTTCACAGTACTTTTTCACAGCTACTTCTGAGTTATAAAACCAACTGTAATTGAATAAAATTACATGAAGCACCTTTAAAATGTGCTCTGTGTAAAGTCTCAAAAGTTTTCAAATACATTTTAGCTCCAGTGACTATACCGTGTCAGTGAAATCTACTCAGAAATAGCTTGAAAAATTCTTTGTCCAATTAAAGGACAGATTGAGGTAAAAAAAACAACAACAAAAAAAACAAACAAACATGGAGGTACCAGGGCCAGGGCAGCTGCTTCTGTCCGAAATCCTCATCTGTGACGGAAGAAACCAGAAACACAGAGTCCCGAGCCCATTTCTGAACACAGGGGAGATGGAAGAGAGAGAAACAACCAGAGCAGCTCCACACCTAAAAAGAAAAATGTTGTATTAGAAAAAAAGTGTGATACCAGATAGTCTTTTAAACAGGTATCAATACTAAAAAATGATCTTGAGCTGTATCAGAACAAGTATAAGAGGACATAGACTAGTATGAACCACTTTGGAACCTACGTGAACTGCTGAGGGATTACACAGATATAAAACCATATGGGAATATCAAAGAAATTACTATGATTTAATGTTTATTTAATGTTGAAAATCACATTCTATTGTCTAAATTATTATAAGTTATAAGTTATTTTAAAATAACTGTGGTATTTGAATCAGTATTGAGTATTGAGTCTATTAATATCGAGTTTGGGGCGGGTCTTCTTCCACCGTGTGACGTCATTAGGAGTCAATCTAAAAATGTTTATTCTACTTTAAAGTGCTACTCTCCTCGGTGCATCCTCTGCTGGCAATTGTGGTGTTTTTTCAGTCAGACAGAAATCAGGGATGCACTACATTTACAATGCAAGACAAAGCTTAGTTAGAAGGTTAAATAGCTGAAAGATTTTTTACTATCTGTGGGTTTTAGAGTGACAACAATATCTTTTGAATGGTACAAATACTAAAAATGGTGACTATAAACAGGAAATTGAACCTATGAAAACTAAATAATAATGCATTTGATTTATTTTTTGGACAATCATAAGACAATTGAAAACATATTTACAATGTTTCACGCAGAATATGGTACATGTTTTTAGATTTTAGTAGCAGTAACAGTACCGGCTGAGTTCTCTTGACGGAGCCGATGCAGATGAGACAGGTGAGAGCTCCAGACTGAAAGAGTTCATTCAGATATTGTCCAGTCCTCTGCAAACCAGCGCTGTCCCCTCCTAAACATACAGAGAGAGTTCCTGGGTTAGTCCCTGGTTTGGTCCCTGGTTTAGTCCCTGGTTCAGTTCTGGTTCAGTTCTGGTTTAGTCCTGGTTTAGTCCTGGTTTAGTCCTGGTTTAGTCCTGGTTTAGTCCTGGTTTAGTCCTGGTTTAGTACCTGTTTGTTGGTTGTATGAGGTAAAAGTCGAAGCCAGGATCTGGCCTCTCTTTCCATCTTTACTCTCCACATCTTCATCATCATCTTCATCAGAGGAGGAGGAGCTAAAGCCGCTCTCGACCAATCGCTGAGCAGCAGCAAGATTCGACTTCCTGATCTCTTCGAAACGCGACTCCACTGACACAGCTGCAAGAAAGAGACAAAACAAACCATCTTCAAATCTGATTTAGTTCTGTTTTAATGGAAAATCAATAGTAGTTATATATTGAGGTATAAGTATGAATGATAAGATAATAGAATACAAAGCAGTTTTCAAAATGTACTAAAATAAAACAACAATTTAATTAATAATTATTTGACCAAGTGAGGGTACTTATCCTGCTTGTTTCAATGGAAATGTTGTTTCTTTGGCTATAATATTCCCCAGTATACAATAAAATGTATTTATCTCCAAAGAATGTTCCAAAGTCTACTTTTAACATTCTATTTCCATGAGATCATGCAGGTGACGCACCACCTCTAGACAGGTACATACTGTTCCTTTGAATGGCAGGACAAAAAGTGACAACAATAATGATCTAAAATGTATTCTCACCTGCTTCTGGAGTTTGTGTTGGGCTCTTCTTGTCGTTCACCCTCTCTGCTCCAGGACGCTCTCTCTCTTTTGGCTGGGGTCGTGACCTTTGACCTCCGTCGCCTCGGCCGCGACCCCTGCCGTGATGTCGCCAGGCTGGCTCCATGACAACAACAGCTGGGGTCACTTGACAATAAAACAGAAAATATTATCAAGATTTATCCTTTGGTCAATGACATGATTTGGGCTGTCTAAGTAAGATATCTGCAGCCACTCCTCTGTCAGCCCTGTTTGGAGAGTTAAAGTTTACGTTTTTGTTTTTTTTTCTTCTTTATAAGAAAAGAAGTGACTAATTTGTTTGTCATATTGCCCAGAACTAAACTGGACACATATGTAACTTTTTTCTACAAAATACCTGTGCATAGTAGTCTTTGTATACAGTCAACACATTTGTCATTACTAAAAGCTCATAAAATGTTTATGTTTTTTTATTTGTTTGTTTATTTGTGTCTGCTATATGAGATTCATCAGAGCAATGAAAATCACTGGGAAAAAAATGACATCAAATGGGTAACAGAGGATCAATCTCTAAATAATTCATACATTAGCCGCATTTATGATCTCTTGTAAAGCCTTTTACGTGTCAAAACATCAATAAAACGTAATAAAAGTTTTGACATGCAACCATTCGTTTCAATAAAAGCTTTTACTTCTACTTTGGACAAATATTCAACAAATTCGCCCAAGTTCAGTCTGCTAGCCAGTTAGCTCCAGGTTGCTAAATTATATCAAAATAGGCCAGAATGAGCGGTCAAGTTAAAAAGTTAAACAGGTGATGGGTCCGTTTTGTGTGTTTTTAGTCGCACAAGCAATGCTAAGGTCAGAAAATGTTTAGACTTTATTATAACAGAAATTTTAATTCATAAACCTACCTTTCCACTGCGATCTGCACGTCTCGCTTCGGTTAGGTCATGCGCAGTGAGCGCGGAGCAGGGCTGGTGGTTGTTGTAGTTCAAACAGAGGCTTGACAAACGGAGAAAGCGGGAGGAAAAACTACAAATCCCGGACCCATAGTGAAAAACAGCTGTAATGCGACGTGTCAGCAGGCGAAAAATATGAATATTTTATTTTATAAACACATATTCACTAACAGTCAAAAGTTTGGACACAACTTTTTCAGTGTTGTTTTTCTTTGTGTTTACTACTTTCTACAATTTATATACATAAGGAAGACACCAAATATATGAAGCAAGATATGGAATTATGTGGCAAGGAAAATGTTTTTACATTTTATATTCAAGTCTTGAAAGATTATAATAATGTAAGATATAATGTAACATATTCGATAAATAACACAATTTAAATACACAACTTAAATAGTAATGCATAGTGATAATATACAGAAATTGTTTTTGTACAAAAATTACATTTTATTAAAGCTATTCTTCTTCTTTATACAGTGCACATTTACAAGTTTTCAGTACAGTCGAAAAATATTAGTACAACTATGACAATGATTTAAACAAAGGTATTACAGTTAATATTGCTTTAACTGTTGAAGTCCTGGATACCCTTTTATAATCTAATCCCTGTTTATTTCTAGCGAGCTGGTTTCAGTCCAGGTTTAGTTCTGCATGAACTCTCGCCCTTGCCACTTTAAATCAAGACATATTTTGAGTTGGAAAAGTTCTCAAAATGTTGCATATAACAGGCAGCTGAAAACCATGAATAGTTCTCACTGGTTTGTCCAAGTTTATCCATTATTAAACTAAACCTATTATACAAAATTTGAGCTTTTAACCATGTTATTGTTTTCCCTCACCATTTTCACTCTCAAAGTTGTATCTGGAGTGAGTTAACTGCCCATTTTGCAGATCATTTACTTTCTTAGGCCATGTCTCATTTCTCTTTCCTTGATTCCTTCTCCTTGATTCCGCAGGAAATAGGTGAAGAAGTCCCACACAGAGTGAGGATATAGATTCCTCACTGAGACCAATAAAGTTTTATTCTATTATCTGATGTCTGCCTCTTGAAGCCTCTCTCATGTTTACTCATTTATTCCGTGGTTTTCTTTGGGACACATTTGATTGGCAGCTAAAAAATGGGGGATCGAGGAGAGGAAACAATGAGAAGGAAGCGATGAAAGAGAACTGAGATGAAGCCTTACTTTCTTCTTGGTTTAGCTCTGGATTAACTTCCTTCCTTATCTCTGATTGGCTGCTCCCATCACTTCCCCTCCTCCTCGTCCCTGATTGGCTGCTGGCTCTCGGGACTGGGTGGAGGGGGCGGGGCCAGTTTCTTTTCCAGTTTGTTGATTCGGTGCTTGAGTTTGCTGTGCGTGGCGTCTGATTGGGCGAACAGTCGGGCGAAGCGGGTCTGCAGAGTGTCCAGTGTTTGACCCATTTTATCCACCTTTTCCTCCATCTCCTTCGGGTCCGGGCCCTGCGCCGCCACCTGCAGGACACACACAGGATTACGATGACTATAACGATATACGACAGACGAAAGACAAGACTACAAACCACACACATTGTCTAAATAAAGAATGTTTTTTATTTGTGACAGAACAGAGTGTTTTTTATTTGTGACGTAACTCGGCTCCAAGTTTGTATTATAACTGCAGGCCTCGATGAGCTTCATTTGACTGGAGCTGAACACTATGGGTGAACTGACATTCCCTCAGCCCACTTCTTCTTTCATGATGATAACACTAGTAGTAATAGCAAAAGCAGCAATAATAGTTGTATTTGCAGTATTTATAGTGGTAGTAGCAGCAGCAGAAGTGTCAGTAGTGGTAGTAGCAGTACCTCCAGGTCCAGTAGTCCATCTTTCATTAAAATCTGTCTTCCCTTCTCCTCTAACAGGGCTTTGGCATCGGGGTACTCCGTGAGCGCCTCCATTAGATCGACTTTGGAAAGGCAGAACAGGTCTGAGTACCCAATACTGCGGATGTTTGCCGTTCTCCTGTTTCCAGCTTTACTTCCTGGAAATATACAATAAATATAATATACAGTATGCATTGTGTCACCATGGTAACGGATGAACATTTGGCCATAGAAAATCAAAGTATCAGTTCTAAACCCAGTCCCAGTCCAAAACTGGTCTCACCTTTGATGGCGAGGATGCTGATCTCTCCGAAGTAGCTCCCCTCGGACAGAACCACAAACTGCGTGACCCCGTCGTCCGCAACAACAGCCAGTTTTCCCTCCTTGATGATGTACATCTCTCTCCCAATGTCGCCCTTTTTACAGATGTAATCACCAGGACTGAAAACCTGAGGCTGAAGCTTCAACACCAGCTCTACCAAGAGACCAGCCTCACAGTCCGCAAAGATCCGCACCTAGGAGCAGGGTTAGACCAAGGTTAGTCCTGGTGTGGCGGACAGCAGGGGGCGCAATGTATTTTTTAAAGACTTATCTGACACCACCTTCCTCTGCCAGCGGAGGTCGGGTTTAAATAGTCCACATGGCAGTGGTTCAGTCCCGACTTCTGCTGGCTGGTGTCAGGTAAGTTAATCGAACTTCTTTTTTAAATAATTTTAGCTCTTTTTAAATTGGTTTTAATAGGTTTTTTATCGTTGTAGAGCTGAGATTTTACCGGTGGCAGTATCTTTTTAAATCAGGGTTTTTAACATGGTTTTAATTTTTGCTTTTAATTGTAATCTGTCCTTTTTTATCATAGGAGTGGTCTGCTACTGTTTTGTTTGTGTTTTGTGTTTTGTATTAGTCTTATTTTATTGTTTTGTTTAGCATTGTTAAATGTCTGTATCTTAGCTCTATATATTGCACTTTTTTAATAAACGTGTGTTTTTGCCATCCCTGGGTTTTTTAGCTTTTAGTAAGTAAGTCTTTATTTATAAATTGCTTTTCAGACATTTTTGTCACAAAGACGCTTTACAGAGCATTATTCAGCATTATTCATTCACTTTATACCTGGTGATGGTAAACTACTATTGTAGCCACAGCTGCCCTGGGGCAGACTGACAAAAGGCACGGCTGCCATGCCAATCGGCGCACCACCAGTCCCTCCGACCACCACCATCACTCACGCACACACCACTTTAATACTAGACAATGTGGATGAAGTGTCTTGCCTAAGGACACAACGACTGTTATTTTTATTTTTTTCATTTTATTTATTTATTTATTTTTTTTTTGCAACTGGCGCCCCCCTGTGGCATCTGGAATTTCTAATGTCTCCCATCCAAGTCCTAACCAGGCCCGGCCCTGCTTAGCTTCTGAAATCTGATAGGATCAGGCTTTTACAAGCCAGTATGTCCACTAGTTTAGTTAGTTTAGTTAGTTTAAGTTCCTGGGTCGTACTTGGGAGGGGTTTCACCTGTACCTTTTTGTTTGCACTTTGGGTTTTAAGTGATTTATTTAGATGTGATTTCATGGTAGCACTTGCTGTTTTGTTCTGGGTGGGGCTGCCCTCTCTCAATTCATCCTCATTTGGTTTATTTGTAAAATTTATTTCTGTTTGTTGCAGATTTGTTTCTTTCGCCCAGGGGCTATAAGGTTTTATCCTTATTTTAGTATATTTTATGCATCTTGGCCATTTTATTATTTTAACAATCCACCTCACTCCCTTTTTTTATGGAATAAAACATTTTTCCTTTCTACTTGCCCCGTTTAAGTGTTAATAAATTTGAATTATACATTTTAAGTCACGTCTCTGTCCTTATTTACATACTTACCTGTGGTCTTAGTCTTTTTTTGAGCTGTATTTACGTATTTATCCATTTTATTGCAATTAAAGGGTACCTAAGGTCACACTGGGTCAGTCTGCATTTAGTACTGGATTAGTCCTGGTAAGTCCTCTCCAACAGACTGACAAAATGCAACACCACATTAACACAGACAATGTTGGAGATGTTTGCATTCAGTATAACAGAGATCACTTAGTAATTCTGCAATCCCAATTCAGCACTAGTTCACTTCTGGTTTAGTCCTGGATTGTCCTGGTTCAGATCTTGTCCAGTTCTTGTGTAATCCTCATTCAGTACTGGTCCAATCCTGGTTTTTGGCAGAGGTCCTAGTTCAGTCCTGGTTTAGTCCTGGCCCAGTTCTGGGTTTAGTCCTGGTGTAGTCCTGTTTTAGTCCTGGTACCTTCTTGAGTGTGTCCAGGTGAACGTTGATGGCGATCTCTGCTCTCAGTTTGTCTGGTAGATATTTGAGGACTTCTCTCTCGTCCACCGCTTTTTTATTTGTCCAGAGAAAATCAAACCACTTGATCACACGCCTCTCCAAATCCTTTGTGACCTAAAATATACAAATATGAAAAGAAGATATAGTTTTAAAAATATTCAAAACGATTACTTGGCTAGAAATTCAACTAACTAAACTAGGTGCTTGCTTTAATCCTAGTTCAGTCCTAATTCGTTCCTGGTTCAGTCCTAGATCAGTTCTAGTTCAGTCCTGGTCCTGTTCTAGTTTAGTCTTAGATTAAACCTGGTTTAGTCCTAGTTTAATCCTGGTTAAATCCTGGTTCTGTCCTGGTTCAGTCCTTGGTTCAGTCTTGGCTCAGTCCTGGTTGGGTCCTGATTTGATTCTGGTCCAGTCATGGTTTAGTCTTAGTTTAGACCTGGTTTAATCCTGATCTTGTCCTAATTTAGTCAAGGCTTAGTCCAGGTTTACACCCAGTTTTGTCCTGGTTTTACCTTCCTGAAGCTCATGTATTGTTTGATGGCGTCAATTCGAGCCTGGAAGTCAGGCGGCGTTCATGTTTGTGATCATCGAGCCCACGTTTCCGACAATGGTGGCAAAGATCAGAACTCCCACCTGGACCAGAAAGACAAGAAAGACCAAACTACAATTACAATTGAACCTGACTTGCCGGTGCCTAAACCTGTGTGTAGTGGAAATATAAGTTTTCCTTATTCTCAGTATATGGACAGTCCTTATATGAAAGCTCAGAACCTCCAGAATTCAGAGGCTGCACTAGCAGTGGTTCATGACTGGTGCACGTGCTGGGGTTTAGGTAGTGACCATTCAGATCAGAGAGAAACATTTTACATTTAACCCAACTGGATTT